TCTTTCTTTCATGAAAATAAATGCAGAGAAATGACAATACATGCAAATAAATGACAATTCTTTTACGATTATGTTGTTTTTGGGATGAATACTTATGTTGACCTTCAAACAAGTACATAATGCATAATGAAATGCCTCCTTGAGCTCCTCCTTCAGCTGCTTGTCTTTCCTTCTTCTTTTTTTCTGTTTGATTTGGTTGATCTTGATTTTTATTTTCTTCTCACCAGGGAACTCTTCAGTGGGGTTTGCCTCCTGTATCATCTTTCCAGAACCACTGCATAGCATGCCTCTGGTGCAATGTTTCCATTTGCATCAAGAATATCATTGATGATATTTGAAAGCACATCTGGAAAACATATACAAGTTGAAAGTTGGCCATTTTCTGCTCTTTTTTCTTTTGCAATAATGGCGCTGATTGCCGACCAAATCTTGCTCTCAGATGGTAGATTCAATGAAGAGGGGTACTTCATTTTCAACTTTTCAAGCATGCGACCAGGACCCTTTTTTTTATCACTTACATTTCCATCATCATACATTTGCTTCACATCATCTATATGATGATGAATATACTTTTCCCATAAGTTTTTCCTTAAACAGACCTTATTGCCCAACCTTTCTGAAAAGATTCATAACATTTTTCAGGTTCAAGAACAAAATTACTACATAAATTACCATCATCATTACGTTGAATAAATTCAACAGATCCTCCATCCAGTAGGTACAGGAAAACCCCGGATTTAGCTCCGTTACATTATGAGAGAATCAATGAAAAAAAGTTTAGCCAATTATCTTTTTTCCAGCTTAAATAGCCCTGTGGGACTGAGAAAAAATTTGCACCCCAGAGGTATGCATTATGTGTTAATAAATGTAAAGATATTTTAGATTATTAAAGATATTTTCATCAGTAACAACAAAATCACCATGATTAATGTACGTTTTCATTTCTATGTAAAGTATATAAAGGAAATATTTTCAAAAGTTTAAACAGACATAACTATATACATCACACTTGAAGATGCAAATATTGAATATTGTTTTTGCACCAAAACAGATATGGAAATGATACTACAAGTATACATTTGCACATCTTTACAAGTAATCAAGCCAACAGTATGCTCAGGTACACTGACTTCTTTCAAGCAAATATAGTAATCCCTAATAAGTTCAGTAGGTAATATATTGCAGTTTGACTTCTGAATTTTTACCTTGACTGAATTACAAGGAGATTGGACAAAAGAGTTTGGCAATGAATCAATGCACTTTATTTATTGACAATGATAAATTCCAGCACAATTTATTATCTCAGTGTCACCCTGGTTACAGTCTTCCATACCTCTACATCTTCACATGACTGATATGTCCAGCAAGCCTGTTAGGTCAAACCTAAAGGAATTCGCCGGTAAACACAAACCATGGGAAGACCTAGAAATACCAAAGAGAAATGACCCTTGACAATGAGTGATGAGTGCAAGAATAAGATAAACATAGTTCAAAGCAAGTTACTTGCACACTATACAAAAATATACAAGTGTAGGTGTCAAAAGTTTGTGAATAAGAAAATGTTTTCCTTTGTCAGCTAAAAGAGAAAAGAATATGCGGTATTTTTCCATGAACAGATATATACATGTATCAACACAGAAATCAGTACACGAACCCTAAATATTCTAAAAGCATGAACATTTTCAAATACCACAAACTATTCTTAGTGAATTTTTTCTTATATCATGTACGTATATGCAGATTTCAAAAACATGAACCTAAAGCTGTTTATCTGTATCAAATACAAGCAAAATACATGTAAAAGTGAAAGTCCCCACATCTGAAACAGTATTTACACACTCAAAATAATCAGGGAAATTTCATACAGTACTCTAGCACATATAGCTTAATCACACATCAAAGGCAAATCAAACTATATAAATGATAAGTTATTCCCATATAATTTTACTGATGATATTTTGTACATTTGTCATTAAAAAACATATACGTTACTGCAACAAAAGTTTCTGAAAGTCTCATATGTATATACCAATGTGACATATGTTCAATACTTATCTGTTTGGTTCACAGTGAACTTTGAACTATTCATGTGCCATCTACATAAGCAAACACTTACGGCTGAAAGGATAGACCAGAACTTTACCTTTACAAGAAAATATGATTGATAACAGTCAAAGGTAAAATATTCAAATGAACGAAATTTCCCACACATTCCACAGAAATGGAAATCTCCCACACGGTATCACTTATGTCAGCAACAGGTTCTGAAATCATGCTACAAACTAAAAATTAACAGGTTCTGCAATCATGCTACAAACTAAAAATTAACAGGTTCTGCAATCATGCCACAAACTAAAAATTAACAAATGGAATAAGAAATAGGAAACACAGTAATTCCATTCAATTAAATACTGTCAAATCTATGATAAACAACATTGTTTATTGACAAAAAGGGGACATGGATAAACATTTTCGGAATTCTATCAGATTCCATCTTCAGTATGTTAAACATTCTTATTTTCCATTTTTGGGATGCTGTTTTAGGTTCTTTCACCACATGATTCAGTCCCAGTTTTGTGCCATGCCCTTTGGACTTGTCTGGTACCATATGTCTTTTGTGGGGTGGTCTGCATTTTACCTGACTTCAACTTCTTGGGGGTGATTTTACCTATATTATTCATTAGATGTATAGCTTTGGTTAGCTACTTCTGAACCTGGATACTCTTCACATACTCGTATATTCCCTTCACAATCGGCTAGGGTTGTTGTATTTTTTCAATTGGATATGTTTTTTCTGTTCCATACCTCACATTCGTGTCTCTTTGGGGTGGGTGGCTTTCATATTTTAACTACTCTAGGAATTGTTTCCTATATATCACCATTTTCATTCTGATGACCATGATGACACACTATTGCTTGGTACTGTAATTTTTATTGTTAAAAGTTTCTATCAGTGATAGCAAAGTCAATCATAAGCCATGTATTTTAACAGACTTTCCACAGACCTCTCACTGTATGTGAACATTGGCTTCAAAGATCACAATTTAAGCAGATTGAGACAAATAAAAAACAAATAGATTTGACAATGGGCATATCCTGACATGCAGAAATAGCAAATCCAAATGTGATCAAAGACTACATATGAAAATGGAGAAGACCCAAAAAGTGATTGAGGTGGGACCGATCAATCCAGAACCCCAAACAGCATCATCCATACAAGACAAATGGAAAAAATCCATAGGTAAGATAGGTAAAGGATGGAAAATTGCTGGACATGTAAAAGAATAAAGATGACAATATCTCAGAATGAAACAAAAAAGTTTAACATAGCATGACAGATACCCCATGTGACACTATGTATACAGGAGAAGCCCCCCAAAAAAAATAGACTGGTGGAGATAAAACTTTACCGGAAGTCTATTAGCAGTGGATGGGAAACAAACAGCAGTGTCCCACTCAATAATTTCCCAAAAGGAAAGAAGCCACGTGTGGAGGGAAAGAACAGAAGATGGCAAACTCCCCAACATGGAGAGAAGAAAAAGGAAGTATCCCATGAAAATCCCTAAATATAGGTAGAACACGTAAGAAAGGAAGTAGAAAGTAAACATTACCTGTGGAAGAGTAGACAGGGTAAAACAAAACTAAGTAGGGGAGAAAATGGAAAGAAGTAACAGAGATCCGAAGGACACAAAACCTAGAAAAAAATCTGCCTGATGGTAAGCAAAGGCAAAAAGAATTAAAGCCTGTACATGGCAAGGTTTGCAAGTACCCAATCTCAAAAGAGACAAAAAAAGTTCATAAAGAAACAATGTCAGGAGAAGGGAATATACTGTGAAATGTGTCTAAAACAAACAAACAAAAAACTGAAATAGGCCAAGCAGAATCTGCAGTAGAGACCTGGAATGCTATCCATGATAAAGTGGAGGAAAACTAAAAATCTGGGCCACCTGAAATGGGTCCAGCCATTATACTGGGAGCAGGTGGGGTGGACCCCAGCCCAGAGAGGCCCACAATCAAAATTAAGGGTAAGATGTATAAAGTATAAATGAAATGAATGGTAAGAAATTAACAGACACTTGTTAAGCCTAAGCTAACAAGGTATTTAACATAGTTACTGATAATTCTCAAGTATAACTACAACTAAACCGAAAATAACAGACACATGTTAAGCCTAATCAAAATAAGAATCTTAATCTAAAAATAAGTATAATAACGAAAATGAAATAATTGGAATTTATAAAATGAAGTGTGTATGAACAATAACCTATATATCAGATGTGATGTATGGAAGAAAAACAGTATAGTTAAATGAATGATTAATATACAAGTCAGATGAATAAAATAACAAAGACCTCTAGTATCAGTGGTATAGGAGAAAGAATACAAATAGGCCTAATTTCTAACCTGAACTGCGACTGTATATCAAAATGTGTGGCCTTTTAAATTCGAGGTGAGGCCTGACAAATATCAGTTCTTGGATGATTAATCTCTCAACGAAGTAAAGCTGAAAATCTTTCCATGGAGTACTGCAATCTGAAGCCAGTGTAAATGTGCAAATAGAACATATAACCTCTGAAGTGGTAACTTAGATTTCATAATGCAAAATTAATAACCAAACACGACTGTGTTGGAAGAAACAAAGAAAAAGTTTTTGGAATGAAGTAATAAGTTCTGTAACCAGGTAGAAATATAAAATAATTCCACTTTGGAATAACTTAATAAGTTACAAATATCACTATTGTATAATAAAGAGTAAACTTGTTGAGGGAAAATAATACAAAGATATGGAAAAATTCAAATAAACACTTGAAGAGAGCATAAACCAAACATTAGAATGCGCTGCACTGTCAAATGGTTGGGAATTCATCATGAACCAACTACTCAGGTGCTGCACATGTTGTATCTGCAGTGATACACCAGTGCATCAGAATAGGCAAATTGCTCTTATAAAGTACAATTAAGTTTCTGTAAAGATAATTTCAATATTACAGTATACTTACATATTTTTTACAGTAGAATTATTCCCTTCTAATAAACTTGTTTCTCTCATAGCTTGAAGACGACACTTAATAAGTTCAGTTGGACAAAGACTGAAAGAGGAGAAAAAAGCAGCAAGAAATCCAGCCGTCGCATTTGACAAAGGTCCCAGTTCCTCCACCTTCTGTGTTTTTGTTATTTTCTGAACCAACTTTTGACATACTCCATATGCACAGAACAAAACAGAATTTTCTGCTATATTAGCAGCAAGTGCAGGCACTGTCCCAGCATACAATCCTCGAAAACCTTCTTTCGCTATGGTCTGACGAAAGCACAACAAACTACTTTTATAAAACTCTGGGAAAGTTTGCATTTTGACCTTGATTGTGTCTAAAGGTTGACCTACCATCACATTAGCTGTACCACCTGTGACAAAAAACAATCAGTTTAAGACAAAAATCTATAGGAAATGTCAAAATGTTTTTGGAATCACAAGAAGAAAATATCACTAGATATTGATATGCTCACACTGTTTGCTGGTTTACCTTATAAATCATACCAAACCTTGTATCAATTTAAAATCTAGTGGCAGGTCTTTTTGATCTAAGCCTATAAAATTAAGTTAAATTTATAGCTATTTAGCTCAACTGCATGGCTTGCACTTATGCACTACTGACAATGTCAATGAAAAACACTCATGCATTCTGACACTATTCTAAAAACAATGTATCAGTGCTGATAAAGAACCTTTTAACCATATGTGCACTGCAGAGTTAAAGTGAATGTCACAACCTCATGTTGCTACATTGAAAATTTAATTGAACAACCTTATTATTAATATCAATAACATCTGCATCAAAAAAGTTTATAATTAAAATTTGTATACCATATAAATTTTAATTTCTTAATTTCACTTGTCTGTGTCATATGACACCCTTGCACTCCATATTACCCATTTTGACTTTTTTCTACCGTTTTATGGGTTTCAGTCTCCAACTAATTACAGATTCATACTATAGATATTGACAAGCCAGAAGATGAAGTTAGAACCACCACTTTTCTTACTTTATTGAGATGTAAAAACAAATGTCAAACCCACATGACATGGCTCTCCCGTTCCATTCTTCCAGGAAATGTGAATGATTCACTCTGACTTTGCTGTAGAATTATTTGTAACCAACAGAAGTAGCAGCATTTTGATTATGAGTTTCTTTATAAAGGTTATTTCATTTTGACTCCTAAAGGACATATTTGGTCTCAGTTTCATTATCTGCAGTCGTGGGGTTCAGTTTTGAGCAGCTATTTATAGTTCAGTTAGAAAGCCAATTAAATTACAGTAGTTTTTTGATATTCTATTGTATACGTTGATATACGTTTTTGTGTTCTAAAATGCATAATTGAAATAAACAATAATTATTTTGTGGACAACCACCATTACCACAAAAGATGAAGTTTAGAGTACCTTGTCTTTGATGCTAAAAGGCCTGAGTCCAGATGTAGGAACTAAATTTGTTTTTATGTATATTTTTTATTTATTGCTTTAATACTCAACAAAATGTAAAAAGTTAACATTTTCCAACACATAAAATGTATTTCTAATAGATACTCACATAATAGTTTTTTTCTGATTTTGTGCTTCCCTTCTTACTCGCCACTAGTCTCAAGGCTCCCACCTAAACTCATGTGTTCCCATGCATTACTGCTGTGTTGTAGCATGCAAATGAGCACATGACAGCTCTCTACCAATAGGAGTGCAATTCACTCCTAGTGCAGCTGGCTCCCTCTGTAGGAGGAAGGTCTGCATCATCTACACCAACAGATCACCACTGCCCTACTCTCTACTGAGTAGAATTGGTACACTCAAGAGGAAGCCTCTATGGTCTACCATCCCACGAGCTTGGAACTGGTGAATGGTAAAGACTCCTGTACTCCACTTGAAGGGGGTGGACAATGCAGTAAGAATTCTGAAGGAACACATCACTGGAGAAAGTGATGAAACCTTATTTTTAAAAGTAAGCCAGTTCCAGTTTATTCAACTAAGACCGGAGGAATAGGCAGCTATCCTGACAGTTCATGAATAGGTACAATTTAGATCAGGCCTTGTTTAGTAAATAAGATATTGTGAGGATACCTCTAGCAGTCTTTTGGAATACCCTATCTCATCAGTAAGAGTTACAGACCCAAATAACCACATTGTATGGATTTATATGTAAGTATACCCTGGTAGGCACAAACTGCCACTTAGTGGGATCCTGAGACACAGAACAGGGCCCCTATAAAGGTAAGACAGAAAAGAAAAATAGCTTACCCATTCAGGGCCACAAAAGTGTATGTAGAGTGGCAATGGGAGGAAGTAAATATCCCCACAAAGAAGAAATGACCAGATGATGAAGATAAGGTGTGACAAAAGTATGTTAGGTTGTCCACATGCCACTATGTTTGATCTCTTCCAACAGACGATGGAAGAGAGCAGCCAGGCAGAGAGTGTCTAAGTTGGAGAAAGGTGACCTGAAAAAGTTGATGTGAATCTGCAAACAGTGAAGCATAGGCTAAACGGATGAGCTGCAATAGCCATCCCACGTGGGTAATCGGAGAAATATTTCGGGGAGATGAGAAATTCCAAGAAATAAATATATGGGAGCGTAAACTGCAAAAAGAAGCATTGCAGGCTATATAACAACAAACCACATGGATGGGATGATCTAGATCAGAACGAGAATAAAAGTGAGAAATGGAAGGAAAGGAAATAGCAGTGAATGTGCTGTTCCCTTCATGAGCCACTGATGTGTTAGGGAAAATTGCATCATCAGAATAATGAAGAATATAAGAACAATGGAAAAGAATATAGTAAGCATCAATGGCATACATGTCAGGCCTCCTCCAACCAAGGCAAAAAGAAGTAAAAAATAGTACAAGGAACAAGAGATTAAAGGCTCAAAGAGAGGAAGGATAAGGATGTGGAGAATAACATTCAGGTCCCAATTTTGAAGGACAAGGAGGACAATATTGGTGAAAAGAATGAAAGAGCATAGAAAGGAGAGGAGAATATATGACAATAATGGGAAACCCATTAGGCAGAGTTGCTCTGTAGCCAGCAATGGTCTAAAGCAATAAGCTTTGGTCAAGCAGCCATGCAAAAATTCGGAAAGATGAGGGATAGAAAGGAGGGAAGGAGAGAAAGCACAATGAAGAGACAAACTGCAAAATATGCACCATTTTTATTGAGAAACAAGGAGGGAGGAAGAACAAATGAAATGAGAAAGAAAAGGCTACACATGAAAAGTCCAGAACATCTAACAATGGACCATACAAAACCCACAAGTGGAGTTGGAGTGATGACACTGCCGGATGGGAAATGGAGGAGTGAGGTTGAAGGAGTAGGGTGCATGACAGAGGAAGAGTGGATCAGAGAAGGTTTAACAGAGGAAACCATGGCTGCGCCAACCAGTACAGGGCTATCAGGAGGACCAGACATAGAGTGTCCTGAATGAGGAAAAGCAAACGAGAGAAGACGAATAGGAAAATAGGCATAAAGAAAAAGGTTGGACCAGTCGTGACTGAATGCATCCACAGCTGCTGGAGATGAGGAACAGAGGATCAGAAATGGGGAAGTATGGTGTTGAGACAATTGGCAAAAGCATGTGGAAGAGGAGTGCCCAGACGAAAGCATAGCTACTGCAACACCAAAGGATCAAGGGATCACTTCTGACTTAGTATCTTGTTGGGCCTTGAGAGATGATCCATGACAAGATTCAGGACACCCAGAATATAACAAGGTGTACTTGTAAAGAATGGGCTCAGAAAAGGAGGTCGAGAGTGTGGAAACAGAGTGAATGAGACTGAGTGTCCCCCTAGCAAATGATACAGAAGATAACTGAGTTGACTGTATGGATCATCATTAGACATCCAAGAAAATTATCCAAAGTTTGACATACTGCTGAAAGTTCTAAGAGATAGATATGAAGGGACAATTTGTTGTGGGATCACAAACCTGAATTCACTTGAGAGTCGAGACATGCAACCCATCTCATCAAGAAAGGAGCATCTGGAATAGAAGAAGAAAAAGAAACACCCTCTATGGTACTGGTTTTATCAAGTCATTAGGTGAAGTCTTTGAGTAAGGAAAGAGGAAGGAGAATAGTGGAGGACAAGGGATCCCAAGTGAGGATCCAGTGAACATGCAGAGTCCATTGTAGGCATTCCAAGTGAGCACGGCCTAAGGGGATTCCATGGAAGCCCAAGTCCCCAAAAGGGAAAGAACCTCCCACACAATGAGACAAGGAGAGGATAGAGCATTGGAAAGTAATTGCTCCATCTCCCTCAAAAGAAATATGAACTGAAAAATTAATAAGATACTAAGTGGTTGTGAGATGATCAACCAACCCAGATGTGCTGCCTTCTGAAGGAGGAGAAGAAAATGGCTGTAGGAGGCTTGTTGGGACAGAGCCAAAAGAGAAAATAAACATCTGAGACATCCATCTCATTAATCCCTAGACCTGGAGCAAAAAATTACTGTAGGGTAAGAAAAGTCTCCATGGTAAATTGGGGGAGCTTGAAAACCGACAGAGACATGAAATACCTATGACCGGATGCCTATCTATGGATCCCTTAGGAATAACTAAAAAACAGGAATAAAATCCTGGAGACAGATGATAAACCCATCTGATAGCATCTTTAGCCATTAGGTCAACATGAAGCAAGATCAGTACCCAACAACTGACCCCAAATGGAGGGCAAAGGTCCGTCAACAAAATTAACCAGGCCCTATTGACCCTGAGCCTATAGGATAGTCATCACCAGACTGAAAGTACTGAAGTCTATGAGCAGTAGTAGGACAGATGAGAACAGACAGAGGAACAGGGAGAGGAGAGGAAGCAGGAGGATGGGAGACAGAAAGAGGCAAAGAAGGAGCACACGAAACCAGTGAGAATAAGGAAGACTATTAGCATGCAGCCCCAACACACGACTCCAGAGGAACAAGCACCAGTAAAATCACATTGACATATGAAAGAAGCCAGACAAAGGCATATGAGATGAGATGGAGACAAAAGCACTTGAGTAAAAAGGAGATCATGCCACAACAAACTCTAGTAACAGGCCAACCAAACAAAGTGAAAAGGCCAAGGAAGATAAACATGCCACTGTAAAGATGAGAAATGAATGAGCATCCACTGAAAACCTCTCAGGGGAATGGAAGATCACCATGGAAAGAAGATGAATGGAGGAAAAATAATGCAATAGAGTAGTGTGTGTAAGATGAAGATGGGAAAACATAGGCAGTCATATCATAGAAGGTCCAGACACCACCACCCACCACATAAAAGCTATCACTTCCCTAACAGATAAAAACAAACCTGACACCAATTTAGTTGTTAGACTAGTGCGAACAATGTTTTGTTGTCACACATCAAAGTGGGAGTTACTGAGTCTCATTAAATAATAATGTGGAAATGAAAGGCCACAGAATCTGCAGGTACAGAAAAAGTTAGAAGACAAACATCTAACAATAAATACTTCCACAACAGGTAATGTTTTCCTTGATACTTTCACTAAAAAAATGCCCATATCTGAAAAGTTCATGTGTGAAAAAAAAGATGCGTTGTTACACACGAGTGCCAAATCCAGAAATTATGATTCAACAATCAGTATAAAGGGAGCCAGATGCACTAGGAGGGTGTGTCACATGCTCATTTGTATGACACAGTGCAGCAGTAGGATGTGGGAACAGGTGAGTTTAGGTGGAAGCCTCAAGACTATTGGCAACTGAAAAACTGCGCATATAGAGGCCAGCACAAAATCAGGAAAAGCTTTTACATGAGAAGAGGTAAGATATTCTATCGGAATTATAAGCTTATTAGTTTAGATAAGAAAATTCAAAGGAAAGAAAAATTAAATAGATATCCTTGTGATACTTAATACCCTAGACTAAGAAAGTAGGTACATATAACATGGCCTGATTATAACTCGACTGTTTGTTTACACAAACCTTTCCTGCTTCGATAAATGATTTTCCCACTACAATAAATGGTTTAAGCATACTCTAAGACAGTGTAAGTACAGCTACTAATAAATAAAACAAAATTAAACCAGGTATGAATAGTTTTACAGAAAAAAACATTTTGAGATTCTACAGGTTATGCAAGTTAAATGTTAAAACTGTAAGATGAAATATACACACACACACACATATGTAGAATTTACACAATTATGGCATTTGACATATACAGTATGTAGATATTGCCACCATTCAAACTTGTTTCTTCATTGGCTTAAGTGGCTATTCATCAGCAAACAGATACTTTGTTCTGCTCACTTAGATGTCAGAAAACTTAAAATAATAAAATAAATACACTAAGCAGAAAAAATGAAATTATATTTGTTATAATACTCAATACAGCATATAATTATTAACATAGAATAACACTTAAATTTTTAAAATATAAAGAATAAAGTAATTTGGCATATGGAATAAGTGCAGAGGCATGTTATTAGATTTGTACTGGCTTACAAAATTTAAATTGTGAAACGAGTTCATATTTATCCATAGCATAAAAGAATTAAGAAGAGACTTGATTCACGGGTTTTAAGGAGTTCAACAAAACTACAATTTTCATACATATATTAAATAAGCTTACAATATGAATGTGAAGCTCTACCATTTTTTTTTTTGTAATCAATTCAGTAATTTTCAATTATATAGCTAAAGTTGTTAACTAACATGATGAAAGTTGCACTGGGAGCAGCCATTTTCAACAAGTCCGTGACATCACCAAGTTTATGAGCAGAAGGGTTGACTTTTGGTTCTGTAATAAAGTAACTGCTACTAAAAATGAACACAAGATACATTTGAGACTACTGGTTATAATCTTGAGCTTGAGTATCTGGAGGAAGAAATAAATAGCATGCATCTAAATGAAGCCATAGAGATAAATGAGTGGTATCCATGTAGATAATGTGCATAGATGGAGACTGTTGTGCTACACGGGATCTGATTTAACAATATCAAATCTGGGAAAACAGGGCTGCATTATGGAGACTGTTGTGCTACACAGGATCTGATTTAACAATATCAAATCTGGAAAACAGAGCTGCATTATGGAGATTGTTGTGCTACACAGGATCTGATTTTACAATATCAAATCTGGAAAAACAGAGCTGCATTATGGAGATTGTTGTGCTACACAGGATCTGATTTTACAATATCAAATCTGGAAAAACAGGGCTGCATTATAGAGATTGTTGTGCTACACAGGATCTGATTTAACAATATCAAATCTGGAAAAACAGGGCTGCATTATGGAGACTGTTGTGCTACACAGGATTTGATTTAACAATATCAAATCTGGAAAAACAGAGCTGCATTATGGAGATTGTTGTGCTACACAGGTTCTGATTTAACAATATCAAATCTGGAAAAACAGGGCTGCATTATGGAGATTGTTGTGCTACACAGGATCTGATTTAACAATATCAAATCTGGGAAAACAGGGCTGCATTACAGTACTTCCACATTTTGATGATATCATATTAAATCCTGCTGTTCTTAGAGTGGCCAACAATATGACCTTTGCTAAAAACAAAGGTCTCAATTCTTAACTTTGCATTCTTTAAATTGTCTATTTATTTCTTCCACAGAGCACAAATTTCCTTAGAGTTTGTAGTGTCTTGTATTTAGAAAAGCTATTTTTTGCATTTACCTTTAGTGATATTGCAATTTATTGCATGACACTGTGGCATAATGACTACAAATAATTCATGATGTAAATAATAATTTTCTTCAACAGACACTTCAGTAGTGAAAATTTATGTAGCCCTTTTTAACAAAATCTAATCAAAACACCGAATATATTTCTTCTTTCTGTGTATTCACTTATAGTCAACAAATTCCACAAAATTGCCCCTGAAACAATAAGGCTTAAGGACGTTAAAAAATACTCTATTATTGTTTTAACCTGTGATGAGACGTTACAAAATGGTGCACTCATATGGGTGTTGGAAGTTGTCTATTTGTAAACTCTACACAGAAATTTCACTAATGTAAATTTGAAAATGAATTTGTTTTTAAAAATTTGATTTTTATAATATTTACAGCAAAATAAGATCAAATTGCTGGAAGCAATTCATTTTCCTTCAAAACTACTGGATGATCTGAGCTCTGAAAAGAATGGTCAGAAATGCAAAACTGAATATTAAAAGCAACACATTTAAACTTCCAAAGTCCACTTGCTGACATATCTTTTAGTAAAGATGCTTTTTGGTTACTTATATATTTGTGGAATAGTTTGTTTGAGAATGTGATTTATGCTCTTAGTATCAATCTTTTTGAACAAGTTTATATACAAACAATAGGCACAAAATTTGTGATACAAATCATGTAAACTACAGATTTTTTTTCTCTCACTCCTCTGGACTTGTCTGTTTTGAATTCAAAACTAAAGGCATGTTGCAAACATTTCAAATCTATCTGTTGTTCATACATAGTTGCAAAAGGCTACATTTACATGTAACTTGTGTTTTGAGGCTTTGGTTGGTTTTGATGAGTAGAGGAGTGATCTCATTGGGCTGAATGTCCTTTTGTCACTTTGCACTTTATTGGGAAGTTAGGCTGCAAACACTTATTTTTTCATCAAAATCCTTCACTGTTTACATTTTTAAAATACTACAAAAATTAAATCTGCTACTATTTTTGGTCTGTGGCACCTTTGATGAAAATTGTATAACCTTACATGTACATAACATTGTAGATTAATAGTGCATAATTAAAAATGATACAGATATTCATATGAATAACAAAGATCAATATTGATTAGAAAAACACAAGATAAATAAAAGATATAATTCTACTGTCGGTTTCTTTTTCTGATTTTATACTTACACCCAAAATTATTAAAGCTTCTAATTTATGAGCACATACTTACATGTTATCTGAACACTTATAATGAAAAGTAAGATATATGTTCACAACTTTTCTTACCTGCAGCACCAGCAGTGAGATCAATACAGGCAGTAATATAATGTTCATAGGTATGAGTTTTTCTCCATTCCTCAGGGTCTACCCCAGGTGGAAGATGAGGTTCATGTTGAGGAGGGAAAACTGGAGTTTCTAATGCCATTTTAATATTAATATCTAATACTGTATAGTTCCTAGTAGCAAACTAACATCCAAAATGTATTGTTCTGGAAGAAAAAAAAATGGTGTTAAGAAAAAAAGAAGTGGCTTCTATTTGACAAGTCAGTAAAATCTAGTCCTAAAATTCATAAATAAGTAAATGAAAAATTAAACTATATCATATATTCAGGGTTGAGTCTGGCAATTTAAGATGATTATCTGTGAGCAGCAATTAAATTGATCAATAAAAATTAATTTTCATTTATTTTTTTGATTATTCAAACAAGCAATTAATCAAAATTACAATTAAATCGATTGTCATGAAAATAATCATCTAATCAAAATTAATGTTTTTAATTATAACTGCTTTTTTCAGAGCCTCAATGAAAACTCCTCAGCCTCCCCACCTACTCAGTGAGCCTGCTTATACATGGTAGCAATAGCTTTCAAACTTATAAATCAAAAGCTTTTATAAAGCAGTCCCAGAAGAATTCCATAATTCAGTGTCACTGATTCTATGTGCAGAAATAAGTTAAATTGATAATACTTACAGAAATCACAATTAAAATGGTTAAAACCCCATGTGTTTTTTAACAGAAAGCAAACATACAGAACTGATGGAAAGTTCTCTTTATTCACTAATTTTTTTCAAACAACAAAAAATTAACAACCCAATAGTGAACATAAACATGTGGGTACGTGTTAACGTACATCAAGAATGAGCAGTACAAAGCATGTTCATGAATAATATATATACAATTTAATTTGCAAGTCCCAAGCATTTAGAAATTGTATTTGATAATAAATGAAAACTTGTACACATATTTGTGAAACTACTAAGTGTGATCTTTTGTCTTTCTATACAGGATTTCAATTAGCCTCAAGCAGTTAGAAAACAAATACCACATTTGCCTGAATATAATGCATCCAAGAATATAATGTACATTCAATTTTGAAAGGTTAAATTGAAAAAAATGTGTTTTTTTACACATCAGTTGTACAAAATACAGTAGACAAGTAGTAAGACTTTCTTAACAATGCCACTTGAAATTCAGTCCACAATGGCATACATATCAAAAATGTAATATTGTTGTGTTTTACTTTCAGAGTTTGTTTCTTGTTTATATGAGGGGTATTCTTGTGTGCTACTTTCAGAGTTTGTTTCTCATATAAACAAGAAACAAACTCTGAAAGTAAAACACAACAATATTACTCATATCAAACAAGAAAAACTCTGAAAGTAAAACACAACAATATTACTCATATCAAACAAGAAAAACTCTGAAAGTAGCACAGAACAATATTACTCATATCAAACAAGAAAAACTCTGAAAGTAGCACACAACAATACTACACATATCAAACAAGAAACAAACTCTAAAAGTAACACACAACAATATTACTCATATCAAACATGAAACAAACTCTGAAAGTAAAACACAACAATACTACTCATATCAAACAAGAAAAACTCTGAAAGTAAAACACAACAATACTACTCATATCAAACATGAAACAAAATCTGAAAGTAACACACAACAATACTACACATATCAAACAAGAAACAAACTGAAAGTAGCACCAACAATACTACACATATCAAACAAGAAACAAACTCTGAAAGTAACACACAACAATACTACACATATCAAACAAGAAACAAACTCTGAAAGTAACACACAACAATACTACACATATCAAACAAGAACTCTGAAAGTAACACACAACAATACTACACATATCAAACAAGAAACAAACTCTGAAAGTAGCACACAACAATGCTACACATATCAAACAAGAAACAAACTCTGAAAGTAGCACACAACAATACTACACACACCAAACATGAAACAAACTCTGAAAGTAGCACACAAAAATGCTACACATATCAAACATGAAACAAACTCTGAAAGTAACACCAACAATGCTACACATATCAAACAAGAAACAAACTCTGAAAGTAACACACAACAATATTACTCATATCAAACATGAAACAAACTCTGAAAGTAGCACACAAAAATACTACACATATCAAACATGAAACAAAATCTGAAAGTAACATGCAACAATACTAATCAAAGAAAGAACTCTGAAAGCAACTGTCATGATATAAAAGACTGTTTAGTGCAAGTACTATTAATTTATTTATTTTGAGTTAATATTTTATGATTGTTTAGCATTTTTCTTATAATAAGAGAGTTCAAAGCAGACGATTGTTGGAAGTTATGCTGATAATTCATTGATGTTGAGAAACCTTAATATGAAGGAAAGAAACACGTATGCATCTTAGTAGTATATTAACTTTTTTTTTTTTCTTACTGATATTGCTAATGAAGTAGAGGTTTTTTCAATACGATCAATTTCTTTAAAATACATAGAAGTGTTTCTTTAAATTATGATTTTGTTTAGGGAAGACAAAAATCAGAGGAATATCCCTGTCACCCCTCTGGTCTGGAGAGATTCAATACAACCTCAAAATCTTCTTACAAGTTATATAAATCTCAAAATTTGTACAGCTCTGTTGGCTATTAGCATAAAGAATCCTGAAATTGCAAACCCCTAGCCACCTCCCATATTAGGGAACATAAGTAAAAACTGGTTAGGGGCAACAATTAGATTGTAAGTTCTCAGACTTATGGAGTTGTCTCTGTGGGACTTCTAGGCATTTGTTGACTAGTCCTGGCACTGCTAGGTAGTGATTTAAATCACCAATGACAAGAGAAAGTGATGAAAGGCATGTTATGAATAAAATTTGTCACAAACAGTTATGAAACCACTAGGCAGAGAAGATAGCATTTTGACACAATCCTACAATTCTTAGGGGCAGTCTGGAGTCTTCCTGGCCATCATGACAACAATGCTCCAAGACATTATCCAACAGCTAAGGATGAAACAAAATACAAAGATGATCATAACAATAAGCATTATAGTGTTCTTCTTCAGAATTTTCTAGAGAACAGTGCGTTTAAGAGGATGCATATGTCCTAGAATTTCAAACACTGGTGGTGTCTTAGCTGTACAATGCAGAGGTGCTAGTAGCAGTGTCTGCACCATTGTCACACATTGGCATTTCAAGTAGGACAAATAAGGATTTTGACCATTTTTTCAAACATTTCAGGGAAATTTTCTTCTCAAATGGATGGACTCTTGGATAGTCAATGCATGATAATGTGTTTCGAAGGTCAAGCACTTCATGCCTAAGGTCACTTGGAGGTGGAGAAACTCAATAACTGGAACCAAACGATCCATAGGGCCAAGATAAAGTCCCCCTGAAATTACATAGAAAAGCATTCATGGTCATGTCTCCTGCTGATTGTAAAGAAATACTCATCAACAGGTTCATTTATGGACTGCCAAGAAAGTCCATTCAGTATCACATGGGTCTCAGATATATCCTCCTCTGATGGTGTTGGACTTTTAAGATGCAATGGTCATTTCAAAATTAGCAACAGTGGTATCTGCAGCTATGAAGTGTGTTCTGAAACCAGCTTCAAGCTACATGACAGCCCCAACACTACAGCTGATGATGCAAAGTACCAGATGCACCCGCCATGGTATTGGATAGGACAACTAAATTTCAAAGATCCAATTTACATAATTGCAATACCTGTGTAATACGTTCTGTTCCTGAAAATGCTAGGTTTTTGAGGGGAGGAGTTTTTTGCTCAACTGCAGCTTAACCAAAAGTGCACAGGGTTGGTCCAATGAACTGACCATGGAATGCCAAAGAAGAAACAGCTTAGAACTGTGGTAATTATCAGACATTACAACCAGTACTTGTATAGTAAGAAGTTTACTATGTAAGCTGACCATACATAACTAAAATAGCTAAATAACTTTAAAAATCTGATAAAATTAAAACTGCACTGTACACCACCACAACCCAAGTCAGAACAACAGAAACAATGGTGGATTGTCTTACAAACAGATTAAAGCACATCTGTTCACTGAATATACAGATACTTGGAAAATTGTAGCAGCAGTTACAATGAGCAGTGACAATTCTGCTTTTGGGAGGACACCCATTAGGCACTTTGGCAAAATTAACCAAAGGATTGAGACATTGATTAGATGGCACTTGACACGAACCAAGGTGAATCATGACCATCACCACTACGCTGGCAATTGTACTACTTAAACAAGTATAACATCTAGCACATGTATAGTCAGTTACAAGTGTTGGATATTATTTATGTAATTGTTGTGAAAAACCAAGATGGTAGATAGCATGATGCAGTTAATAATCCTCATAGTTCTAACATAACAAATACAATATATGAAATAATTATGGAAATTCATGGGTGATACATATACAGGAGTCATGAACAATGACTAATTGCAATTAAATGTAACATTTAACATCAGCAACAATAAATTATTACAGAATGTATAAAAGGAAAGTGAATAAGTTTTACAATGAACTAGTATTTCATATTTGCATGAAAAAACTGTGTATCTTGTTTTTATGCTATTATACATTTTTCAATGTATGAAGGTAAAACATTATTCTAAATGTCAAGTATAATTCTCCACAATTCAGCAAAGTTGTTTGACTACCATCTGACATTCTCGATTTCAATATAAACCCATACAGCTTTGATAACATATTAGGCCTATGCGAGGTCAATCCATGGTTATGGGTGTTCCATCAGCCTCTTTTTTTTTCCATCTAGCTATTCTTTCATTACATGATACACGCTTGAGGTCAAAATGTTGCTTGAATACGAATTTCTGCCAAACTAATTTTGTTTCTTATTTATAAACTTCTGTCGTACCTGTCAGCAGTCAAGATGTTATCAATTCTGTATTGATCTCCAACAACACTGGCTGAGATGCAACCCAAACTTTTACTGTTTCTCCAGTACGATCTACTTTAAATGTTGTACAATAACCTGAGTTGCTTAACATCACTTATGAGCAATTTGTTTTTACCTCTATCACTTCTATTATAAAAAAGTACAAATTTAGTGGCTTCATGTATTCTCTTCAGAGTTTCTATACAGCTCCTACTCAAGCATGAAACTTTGATTCAATCTGTTGTATGTAATAACCTTCACCAGCCAAAACTTTTGATTTCTACATATTTGCCATGTGGCATTTCTGTCCTGAAAGCCGTGAGTGCATCGCCACACTACTGCTGGGAATATTATTATTACTGCTTGTATTTCTATAAGAAATATGTTAGTGTGGCACTATAAATGGTTGAATGACAACCAATCACTGTGTAAACTATCAAAATATAACTTTAATATGATGCTATTCATCTTCATACAATAAAGATGGGAATAGGAAATTATTGTGGAAACAGTGAATAAAATGCAAATAGTATACAAATCTGTACTTCAGATTATGCATAATGTAAGTACTTCAGGATATCAGGGATGTCACATGCTGTTGAAAATGTGCATAATATGTTTATTTGGCAATAGCTATGTAAAGATGTTGAACTATGGTGTAGATATTCTAGTATGAGAATTTTCCACACAAAAAATGGGCCACATCTTTGAAAACTCAGGCACAGTTGTAGTTCCTGCCACTGATAAGTTATCTAAGATTTAGCTAGTTCTCTCTCCAAGCCTGAGAGGTAAATAGTATATGTGCTGGTAATTATCACCTGCTTCACCAAGTCTACAAAATATTATCTAATAATTGTCCGATTTTTGTATAGGGGCTGGATTCTTTACAGTAGGTGTCTTTGACTTGTTGGCAATACATTTTAACAATAAATGGACAGCACACAATCCACTTGTTTTAAAATAATATATTCAAAACAAGCAAAACATATGTATAAAAAAAAATCGTTACACAGTTGAATCTAGAGCTTTTAGTAATTCTCTTTTTCATCAAAATGTCGACACAGTCATGGTTCAGTTACTTTAGAACCCAAATGACAAGACAAATTATTTCTCCTCTACTCTTTTATCACAAAAGAATCAGTGACATATTCACTTATGTTACCTCGTGGGTTACCACGGTCATATCCAGAGCTTTAAATAATTTTCTTTTATGTCAAAAGTCCACACAGGCGGGTTCAATTACTTTAGAACACCCTTTAACAAGACAAATTATTCCCCTCTATCTCTGTTATTACAAAACAAGCTGGGAAACTTACTTTAGATATTGCCTGTTACAGCTAAACTAACAATCATACAGCCTACCTTCACTTTTTTTACTTTACTTTTACTAACTTACTTAACTCTCTGAATCTGCATGTATTTATAACATGCGACAGAAGAATCTAGAAATACTCAGCCCTCTAGTAGCAACAATATTACACATAAGAAGAAAAACTTAGAAACTTCGAGTAAGATGATGTCAACAATATTACAAAAGCCTAATACACTAACTACATACACAACATAAGACTCATATTGAGTTACGAAACAAACCTTGTCATAACTATTGCTTTTAAAATAATTAACTTTTAACACTCTTGTTATGATAACTAAATAATCATTAAATATCAAATCACTAAATAAACTAATTAATAACTCTTAAACTAAACAGTCTTGTATATCCAACAAAAATCAATATGACAGATGTGGTTGCAAAACAGATAATAAGATTGGAAGAATTTGGAGATTCACAAACCAAGAAGCCACTTCCAACTTCAAGTTGTGCCAAGTGTTGGGTGTGAAGAACATGTGCATTTCATCACATCTCCAGCATATTGGTTCAACTGAAGAAGTAGTGCTCGTTGCTAAACATAGGCTTGCTAAGTTTATGAACCCTAATCAAACTGAGCAGGAAGGGCATCTACTATCAATTATGATGAGGTATGTTCAACTAAGCAACATTTGACTAGTTGTTCTCTGAATTTCTTTATGTTTAGATCTGATGTATGGTTGCCTGCTATATACAGATGTAACTCAGTGTCCACAGGAAGTGTTCAGTAGCTGTGTTCTGTAATAGAAACATGTACTTCCACATCCTTAAATGGTTAAATTGGCTATATATCAAAATAGAAATTAACATACAACAGTAAAGGAATGGAAAAATATGGCTAAGTTATAATATATGCTTGCAGCATGCAAGCAACTTGGTTCTCATTGGACTGCTTCATAACTTGTGTGTCAAACACTCAACAAAGTGAATTGTGAGTTACAGAAGTTATGAGACCGTGTAAGTGCATGAAACACATTTAGTACCTTAAATGATAGAGCAATGTGAACCTTACTTTCGAGCTATCAAATGATATCTGTGAGCAAGACGTTCATCTGATGTTTTGGAATAAGGTCTTACTATAACTAGTGAGCTGTAGCTGCATTTTTGAGAAGCAAACAAAATATTTGTTAGATAAACTAATAGGACAGATGAGGTTGTCAAACAAAAGCTTAGGAAATTAAAAATTGGCCTTAACTGTTGAGTATAAAAGGAAATTCTAAACAAATCATCATGCTGAAACAATTTTGCAATTCTTCCTTTTTGAACATTCAGGTTAAGATCTGAGGCAGACTTTTAATGGATATTAGCCTATTGAAATGTCACGAGTAAACATTTAATATTCATTTACCCAAAAAGGGAACAAAGGTCACCTGAAGGGTCATCTGTTTTAGCTACTCACACCACTATGCAGTAGTGTGTTTTCTGTCAGTAGACACTAAAATGATGTTACATAACTGATGCTTAACTCCTTTCAACCAGGGCTCAGTCCCTGGGACA